GTAGTCAATCAGCTTCTATCAGCTTGTTCAATGACGCTTTGACAATAAAACCTGGAAGCTGATTGGTTTCTATGCAGAGCTCCACCAGATTTTGCACTCTCCAGTTTGAATAAATATTTACAATAGTGACTAGAAATATTGTGTAGGACAACTCTGGACTGACTTGATCACAGCAGAATTTTTTTTTTATTTTTATATTTTTTTATTTTTAAGTTATATATTTTCTTTTAAGAACTTTCATTTTTTTTTTTGGCTGGAGTTCGTTTTATGGAAATTTGCACTAGTTTCCTGGCTGTCATGCACAAGTATTTGTCACTTCCAAGTATACCAAGAGCTCTTGCTTCATTCTGGCTTTAATGATTTTCACACTTTCAAAAAAGGTCAGTGTCCCAAAAATTACTCAAACCAAAGATGACTAGGCAAATCACATTTTTTGAACTGAAAATCAGTAAATGTCACGTTTTGCATTTCTCTTGGTGCAAATTTCCTTTAAACTGGTTATAAAGTCAGTTTTTTTTTTTTTGTTTTTTTTTTTTACACCTTAATTCTCTGCAATAAGGTAAAAAACTAAAAAAACAAAAACAAAAAAAAGCTTGTGTTCTGCTCCCCCCTAGCTCCTGCTTTCTCCATTCTTTCCTCACCGAACATGGAGGCAGCAGCAGAAGCCATTGACAGACAGCATGGTTCAGCCCCACCCCCTACTCTTCCCTCAGAGGCTGTGATTGACCGCAGCAGAAGCCAATGGGTCCGCACTGCTGCCTCCATGGCTAGTGAGGAGAGCGGATAGAGACGCTGCTCTCAGGCACGGTATCCTATCTAGATCAGGCTCAGGTAGGTATAAGAGGCGACTGGGAGATAGTCGAGGAGGATGGGGAATCCTCCCTGCTGTGCCATCATGTTCTGACAGCAGTAGATCAACTTCTGTTCAACTTCAGTAGCCACACAGATCAAAATTCAGCAGGACCCTGCTGAAACAGCTGAATTTCAATCCATCCATGGCCACCTTAAAATTCAACGTCAAGGCCTCCATGAAGCATGCAACTTGGACCATGATGCTCCCTAGGGACACAGAAGATGATTTGGTCAAAAAAAAAAAAAAAAAAAAAAAAAAAGTACCTTTAGGCATCATAAGGTTCATGAACTGTGCAAGTACTATCTGTGCATACACCAGGGCTTGAAAAAGCCGCTCGCCAAATGTGAGGAGAAATTTGAGCGGCAAGCACAGATGCACAGATGGAGCGGCTGCGCTCCAAGCCTCATTGGGAAGTCGAGTTTCGGTTTCCAGCTTCTTTGGCACCACCACTGAGGGGAAAGGTGCAGGAGAGGTCCGCTCTCCTCCGCGGAGAGGAGACACCCTCTCCACCGCTGCGGGGGACTCAAGGAGTAAGTATTGTATACATGTCCTATCACTATAATGGAGTACAGGGGAGCTGGGATATACATTACTGTATACATGTCCTATCACTATAATGGAGAAAGGGGAGCTGGGATATACATTACTGTATACATGTCATATCACTATAATGGAGTACAGGGGAGCTGGGATATACATTACTGTATACATGTCATATCACTATACACTGTATATTACTGTATACATGTCATATCACTATAATGGAGTACAGGGGAGCTGGGATATACATTACTGTGTACATGTCATCACTATAATGGAGTACAGGGGAGCTGGGATATACATACTGTATACATGTCATATCACTATAATGGAGTACAGGGGAACTGGGATATACATTACTGTATACATGTCATATCACTATAATGGAGTACAGGGGAGCTGGGATATACATTACTGTGTACATGTCATCACTATAATGGAGTACAGGGGAGCTGGGATATACATTACTGTATACATGTCATATCACTATAATGGAGTACAGGGGAGCTGGGATATACATTACTGTATACATGTCATATCACTATAATGGAGTACAGGGGAGCTGGGATATACATTACTGTATACATGTCATATCACTATAATGGAGTACAGGGGAGCTGGGATATACATTACTGTATACATGTCATATCACTATAATGGTATAATGGAGTACAGGGGAGCTGGAATATACATTACTGTGTACAGTTTTATATTTTGGACTATTCTAAAGAAAAATGTAATTTCATAAGCTTTAAGGGGGCGTGCTTGTGGCGGGCAGGGGGTGGGGTTGGAGGCGGACTTGGGCAAGGTTGGGTGGAGCAACTGGTGGAGAGAAAGGTTTGTGCCTGGCTAGTAGGTCTAGACTCGAAATTTTAAGCCCTGGTATACACTAGGTCCCGATGAGTTCCCTAAGCTAGCCGACATGAAAGCCACTTTAAAAATGGTGTAGGATACATTTTTGGAGACAGGAACTCCTTGGCTGAAGCTTACTCTTAAAGGGCTGATACATATACTGAACACGTGGCAGATTAAAGAGGGAAAAGTAAAAAATACAGTTGGGCATAAAAAAAAAAAAAAAAAAAAAGAAAAGATAAAAAAAAACTTCCTTTAATCTGACATGTGTTTATTATAAGGGGAACTCCAACAAAATAAAATACACAGATGAAAGCTACAGAAACTGAAAATGTCTCACCTCCTCTTTGGACTAATGGCAAATAATTTTACATTGGTCAAATATATCCTGAATGGCCTTACAGGCAAGGATGGGACAAGGGAAGGGGGGGGGGCAGAAGGGGCACAGTCTGTGGTGAGGGGGGCACACTGGGAGCTTCGGACGCTTCTCCTGCCCGACAGGAGAAAACGGTCACTGTCCCTTATATTGCTGCATAACGGTTTTAAGCCAATTTAATGGCTGCGGGAGAGATAGGCAGAGCTGATTACTCCTCTCCTTTTAAGTTCCACTCTCACCCTCAGCTTGCTCTCCTTTCTGGGTCACTTCACAATTTTCCTTAATGGTCACTTTACCTTCCCTGCACAATCTTAAGTCAGCACCGATACTCCTGCTCCTCTCTCCTGCTTGCATTTCCCTTCCATCTGCTGTCCCATTCATCTGCACTGTACACATCCTGCAGCCTCTGGTCCCAGCTCTGGGCATTCCATACAGCCGTCTGGATGACACCCTTTCCATCCTAGTTTACTACTCTACTAACTGTCCTGTCCCCATAATGCAGCCCTAGCACTCTGTACTCCTTCACTCTGCTCTTCATTAAAATATACTCTTACTACCCAGACCCCCCCCCCCACCTATTCACCCTTTCTTATCCCTAATAACCATGCACTGCGGTGTGGCCACAGTGTGATTGTATGTGCAGTATACCTGAGGTTTTAGGTGTGCTCCCAAAAAATTCTATCTCACAGTGTTTTTTTTGAAAGCACATTAAAGTCCTGCATGCTGCATCTTTGATGTGTTTCCAGAAAACGCACTAATAGAATTCAATAGGCGCACTCCTAAAACCGCAGCACACCAGTGTGAGCCCACTATAAAAAGCTAGGTTCACACATTTGCATGTCAGGAAGGTGCACAAAATTGTGGTTTTCTTGACAACCACAGAAACACACTGGGGTTTATTTTCTAAAGTTGGGGAGTGCAAAACCAAGCTCATCTCTTCAAAGAAACCAATCAGCTTCCAGATTTTATTGCCAAAGCTTAATTGAACAAGCTGAAGTTGCAGAAGTGAGCCTGATTTTGCACTCTCCAGCTTTAGTAGATAAACCTACTCCTGTCCTTTAGTAGACATGCAAAGTGAAATTAACTGTTTCATCTGTTAACACTTGCATTTTCACATGCACCAAAAAACACATGGTGCCGCATGGTGTCGGTCTAATAAGCGAGACCTCAGTGGTCTGTTTAGAGCCCTGATATTTCACACACAAAAAAAAAAAAAAAATATGATTACATTATAAAAAAACTATATTTTTTATTGAGGCGTGTTTACACACGTTTTTGTCTCTGAAGAGCGATCCACATTCAGATTGCTCTTCACAGAGCATTTGACTGGCAGCGAGGTGGCATTGTATTGCCTCCTCACTGCCTGCTTTAATCCCCTCACCCTGCACTGGCATGTCACAACCACGTGCATTGCAGACAATTGTGGGGAACCTGCAGAGCAGCACCACTCACTTGGGTCAAATTTGACAATTGGTATAATTCCTGCTACAGCTGTGAAGCAAATCACAGCATGTCTACATTCCCAGGCACTCCCTCAGCTGCTAAAGGATGCAGCGATTGAGGCACCCAGTTCCAGTTTGCCCCTCCCAGCCATCATAATTTAACCACATACCCTTTACTGCGGCGCACTACATATTCCACCGGTCACCATTTCTCTGAAATATCCCTCATTTCAACTTTAAAAAAGCAGAATGGTATGTTAGTACTATTTCAGTGCATATCACAAACATTACACCATTAGCCCTATCCCGGGGGGGCGGGACGCAGTTTGCCATGTTCACCCTGGGCACTGAAAAACCTTGTCCCGGCACTGCTTACAAAGTAGAAACATTTACAAGTACCCCAACTTTACCCATGAACTTCGTGAGCATTACCCCAACACCATCAATTGTTAGCCCATATGGCATTTAAGACAATTACACTAGCTGATAAAACCTGATGCAAAATAGATTTATATATTTAAAGTAGTAAAAAGCCCAGGCTAAGAACAAGCCAAGAACAAGCTAACTCCAGCCAACTGAAGAGCTATCACAGGACAGCTGATGGCAATGGTTTTTCTGTATGTAAAATCTAGCCTAGATTCAAGACGAAAAAACCCTTAAGTAAAAAAAAAAGGATGGGAAGGCAGGACACATGAAAAAAAGCTTTTCTAGCCTACAAAATGTAATAGCATGTACATTGTAGATATCGGCTCTTAAACATTTAGAATGCCTAACAGGATTACTTTAAGTAACATTTTTTTCTACATTTATGTCAGATTCAAAAGCAAAAAGCAAGCAATACCACATACTTATTTGCACAAACCACATAATGACCACAATTTATACACTTTCCTAATATGGGGAAAGTGAAAACAGTCACATTGTTCACAGAACTCACCTTCATGATTTCAGGCAAGTGTGTCAAGTAGTAAAGATCAAGATGGGCATTAGCGGCAGCCAGAGCCAAGAGGTACTCATTTCGCGCGTCTGATAATTGCTGTGTACATACCACCAGCTGTGTGGAAAACTGCAGCAGACAAAATGTAATGTCAACACACAGGCAAACAGGAGATCAAACAATGTATGTAAATGCAGACTGTATACTTTATGGAAGATTCTATTAAATGTAATCCAGGCAGCAGTCTAGCACCCAAATCCTTCCCAAACCTGAATTACCGGTATAGTTATAGTTGCCAGGGAAACAATTTGTGCGGAAAGCCAATTCCACCCTATTAGAAAAGTATCATCATTTACTCAGTTAACAGGAGCATGGGAATGCTTCTGAATGATACTTGAGAACCCAGTTAGTATCCCCAGATAGGTCACTTGTACAATTTCTACCCACTTTGGAGTTATGGCTGTACCTACATCACTTGTGCTCCAACGTTCCAATCACCAAACTGATTAAAATACAGGTACAGTTTCCACACATACTAAGAAGCTCATAATGAAGAGTAGATAGTATTCTTTGTCAGGATTTATATTAGCAGCAAGAGTTTGTGCAGCGCTTTAAAATATGAAAAGGGGGACAGTACAGTTATACAGTTCAATACAGAAGAGGGAATAGGTTGGCCCAGTACATACAATCTAAAAGGGAGGGGGAGGTGGTACAAAAGGTTATAGCTGCAGGGGATGGTCTGATGGAGGCGACTAAAGTACAGTTCTTAGGTGGAGTAGGCTTCCCTGAATAAAAGGCGTTTAAGGATCATGTAAAGCCAGAAAGGGTAGGAGCTGACCAGACATACTGAGGCAGGGAGTTCCAAAGGATGGGAGAGGCTCTGAAGAAGTCCTGAAGGCGTGTGCTGGAGAAGGCGATAAGGGAACTGGAGAGCAGGAGGTCTTGGGAGGAGTGGAGAGGACAGTTTCGGTGATATCTGAAGAGGAGGTTGATTTTGTGGATGGCTTTCTATCTTGTGGTTAGTACTTTGAATTTTATACATTGGGCTAGTGGAAGCCAGTGAAGAGATTGACAGAAGGGCAGTAGACACAGATCAGTTAATAAAGGCGTATTAGTCGAGCAGCAGCATAATAGACTGAAGGGGAGGTTGCCTGTGTAGGGGTAGGCCAATGAGGAGGAAGTTGCAGTAGTCAAGGTGGGAAATAACCAAGGAGTGAATAAAAGCAGTTTTGTGGTGTCAATCAGGAAAAGGGCGAATTTTGGAAATGTTGGAAGTTAAGATGGCAAGAATAAACCAGTGATTGGATGTGGGGGCTGAAGGAGACGTCCACCCAGGATTACACCTAGCACCCTGGCACGTGTGGAGGGAGCTATGGTTGTGCCGATGATCTCAATGTTAAATTCATGGGGAGGGGATCTGGGAGAAGAAAATATTACAAGAGTAGTTTTAGAAATATTGAGTTTGAGCAAGTGGTGTGACATCCATACTGCTATGTCGCTCAGTAAAATTGTGATACGTAAAGAGATTGAGGGGGTGAGTTGAGTCGAGAGATAGATTTGAGTGTCATCAGGATAGAGTTGGTATTGGAATCCATGGGAGGTTATCAACTGGCCCAGGGAACAGGTATAGAAAGGGAAAAGGAGCGGCCCAAGGACAGGGCCTTGGGGTACTCCAAACAGAAAAAAAGAGCAGAGGAGATGGTATTGTATGTGACTGAAAGTGCCCCGAGATAAGTAAGAGAACCAGGAAAGAGCAGAGTCATGGAAGTCAAGGGAGTGGAGTTTGAGGAGTGGGTGGTCAATGGTGTCAAAGGCAGCAGAAAGTCTAATAGTAAGAGTATAGAGTACTGGCCATCTGCTTTAGCATTTAGTAGGCCATTGGTGAGTTTTAATAGGGCAGTTTCAGTGGAATGTTGCGGGCAAAATACAGACTATAGGGGATCGACAAGGCTGTCAGTGAGGTAGCAACTCATACGGTAGTAGACAAGGCATTCAAGAAGCATGGAGAAAAACAGGATCAGGGTCTTAAGTTAAACAGGTGGAGTTTTTTTTTTCCCCCCAAGGTTTGGAAGAGTGGGTTTTGAGGATAGTGGTGCAGTAGGTTTGTTTAGCAGCATGAAGGCAGGAGTTCTATTTGAGAAGGGCAGATTTGTAGAGGGTGAAGTCTTACAGGGATTTAGTTTTACGCCACACTTGCTCAAGAGCACAGCTGAGTCTCTTGAGACTTCATGTGTTGACGGTTTGCCAGGGTTGCAGCACGCGAGGCCCTGTTCTGCATGTAGAGGGGAGCAAGTGTGTCCAGAGAGGATGACAGTATACTATTGTAGGCAGAAGTGGCCAGGTCTGAGTGGGACAGGGTTGCAATCATAAAAGGCAAATCAGTAGCAGAAGGAAGGGAAGAGTTGAGGTGGCAAAGGTTCCTGCGGGTAACCGTTGGCAAGTAGGAGGCATGGAGGTAGGATACAGGGAGAGTGAAATGGATAAGGCTGTGATCGGAGAGAGGAAAAAGGGATGTTGGAGAGGTTGAAGGGGGTGCAGAGGTAGGCGAAAATCCACTCCAAAATACTCACCTGATATGCACATATTTTTGTGACTTATTGAGAAAATGCAGACTATGGTGTGTAACCTGCAATGTTAGACTTTGGGGACCCGGCAGGCCCACTTTAAATCCACTTCCGCAAGTAACTATACGATTATGTGTAGTGGATTATAGGACAGCACACAAAGCCTAGTTTAGTTTCAAAGCAAAGTAAAAAAAAGCTGAACTTTGGGCACAAAAAACGAAGTGTAAAATGTCAAATCAAGATTACACATGCCTCTTGTATTTGGACAATACACACTGTGCAAAATGATTAGGAAAATTGTATTTTTGAGTATTCATTTCATTATTGAACTACAATTCTCTTGGTCAATGCAAAATGTTAATAAACCTCAAATCTGAATATTAAAGTAAAAGTGAGGTTTTGGCTTTTTTAGGAGATCCTGTGTGCACAATTATTGGGCAACTATTAGGCAAATAAATTAAAAACAAAAATAAATCCCATCTCACTTGTATATTTTTTATCTGTTAAAGTGAGAATAATAAACAACTCAAAATTTACAATAAACATTTGACATTAAAAAAAACCCAAACAAAAAAATAGCCACCCTTTTCCATAACAGTCATAAGCCTTCCATTCATGGAGTGTCAGTTTCTTGATCTGTTGACAATCAACTTTCTGTGCAGCAGCAACCACAGCCTCCCAGGGCACTGTTCAGAGGTGTACGGTTTTCCTTCACCATAATTCTCCCAATTAAGAAGGGCCCACAAGTTCTCAATAGGGTTTAGGTGAGGAAGGGGGCCATGTCATTCTTTCAACTTTAAGGCTTTCACTGGCACAGTGGAGTATTTTGATGCATGCGATGGAGCATTATCTTGCATAAATATCATGGCCTTCTTGAAAGATACAGACTTTTTCCTGTACCACTGCTTGAAGAAAGGGTCTTCCAAAAACTGGCAGTAGGTTTTATTTTGAGCCCATATTCAACTCAAAAGAAGGTCCAACTAGCTAATCTTTAATACCAGCTCATGCCAGTATCCTCAAAGTGGAGCTCTGTGCCAGTTACTGATCCAGCCATGGCCCACACATCTGGTCTGTTAAGAGTCACTCATCTCATCAGTCCATAAGACCTTTGAAAAATCTGTCTACATATATTTCTTGGCCCAGTCTTGACATTTCAACTTGTCTTGTTCAGCCTTCCTTAATTTGGCAATGTCTGAGCACTGAACACCTAGGCACTCCATGTAGATTGCAGTTCTGGAATATGACAGTACTGGAAGATAATGGGTTCCTGGTAGTTTCAACATGGATTCTTCTCAAATCTTAGGCAGTTAATGTATGTCTTTTTCTGAACACTTTTCTAGCAACAGTTGACCATTTGCAACATAACTTGTTGGTCCTGTGATCACACCCTATTATCCTAGCAATTCAAGAGTGCTGCATTCCTCTGAAAGACATTTTTTTATAATTTGACTTTCCAGAGTCAGTTAAATCTTTTGGCTCATTTTCCTTGAGCAATTACCTGATATGATTAAATCCAATAAGCATTCAAGTTTACACAGCTTGAAGTTGGACAATATGCACAAAAAAGGATGATTTGGTCAAAATACTCACTTGTCCAATAATTGTTATGTTACCAATACAGTGGCACATATCCAATGCAAAAAACAGATCTACAAGTGAAAATACATGCAGATTCCAAATTATGCAGCTGCCCCTTTAAGTGTGAATCACTAGTGATACAATATGCTGAAATAAAGTTAGGCACTTGCTAAATTCGGAATACATCAAAAATACATAAATACAAATTTGTGCAGTGTAGAAAACAAAAAAAATGAGAAAAAGAAAAGTCTGCCAGAGTGTAGTATAACCAAACACCACACAATGAAGTAAGTTCTTCAATGGACGTGGGATTAACCTAATCTCCCCAACTCTTCACCACTCCCAAGGGTGCTTTAGGTCAAGGAGTAGATTCCATGTGCTTTTTCAAACGATCAGCTTAATATAACATACTCCGTAATGAAGCAAGGAACATTATTAAAAGAATCAAAGTGTAGTATTTAAAGTATTGCACATAAAGGGTAATAAAAATGCCCTCACATTACAAGGTGCCTATGTTACCGGCACCAGTGTATACAGTCTATAATGGATGTTTATCACTGCACCGCCTCCGTTGGCTGGCGTGTGTTCCAAGCCTCCGTTCCGCGGGCTAGATGTGACCCGAATTGATGGTCCAAGCGCTTCTACATATGTTTCACCAAAGCTGCATCTTCAGGAAGTACTGAGCCACCATTTCCGGACAGATTATAATGGAGAAAAAAAAATTCTCTAATTGGACGGCCACAACAAAATAGCAAAGGTACTAATAATGAAGGCAATGTGATAGACGGATTATACTGGCTGTATATTCTGCTGTGGTTTACATTATAGAGCATCAAAAACAATATTCCTAGAAAATGTATAAAAGAATCGCTAGGTAACTATAAAAGCCAACGAGTTACAGGAGACAAGACCAAATTGATAGTGACATATTACAAATACATTTTCTGTACACAGTGAATGCTTGTTGAATGCTCAATTGGCAGCCACGTGAGGAGAACCAAAGGACACGGTTTGCCATCCTAGGTTAGTGTTAGACTTGCCAGTGGGCCCTGCCAAAGTAACCAGAAAATGTGAGCGTCCCTGGGTGGGCTTGAACCACCAACCTTTCGGTTAACAGTGAAACATGCCAACCGATTGCACCACAGAGACCACACATGCACTGGTGCCAGTAACATAGGCACCTTGTAATGCAAGTGCATTTTTTTTACCCCTTTATGTGCAATACTTTAATTACTAGACTACAGGGCACTTATACCCCCCCTTCCTGCCCAGGCCAATTTCCAGCTTTCAGCGCGGTCACACTTTGAATGACAATTGAACGGTCATGCAACACTGTACCCATATGAAATTATATTTTTTTTGTGACAGAGCTTTATTTTGGTGGTATTTAATCGCCTCTGGGTTTTTATTTTTTCTTACACAAACCAAAAACCACTGAAAATTTTTGAAAAAAAAAAGTTTTAGTTTGTTATAAAAATGTGTAAATAAGTGATTTTTCTCCTTCACTGATGTGCGCTAATGAGGCTGTAGTGATTGGCACTGATAGGCTGCACTGATGGACACTGATGGGCATTGACAGGCATCACTGATGGGCACTGAATGGCAGCACTCATATGGCACTGATAGGCAGCACTGACAGGCATTGATAGGTGGCACTGAAAGGCAGCTCAGATGGGCACTGATATGTGGCATTGATGTGCACTGGTAGGCACTGAAATGTGGCATTTATGTGGCATGGATGAGCACTGACAGGTGGCACTGCTGGGGCTACACTGATCAGGGCACACTGACCATCAGTGCTCTGATGATCAGTGTAGATGTCCCCTCCGAGAAATGCCGATTACTGGCTCTCCTCTCGAGCTGTCAGCGTGACAGCTCATGAGGAGAGAAATGCCGATAACCAGCATTTCCCTGTTTACATGTGATCAGCAGTGATTGGACACAGCTGATCACATGACCGAGCTGACATCTTCGGCTCTTTCCGGTGGACAGGTCGGTGGAGGGTCGAAGGACACAGCGCACTGCCGATCGCCACACTGCGCGCTCCCGGAGTCGCTCATGTGCGGTGAGAACGGGAGGACGTCATATGGCGTCCTCCCAGAATGAGAGAACCGCCTTGCGTCCATCATTGTACTATATGGCGGGCGGGAGGCGGTTAAATACTGCACTTGGATGATTTTAGTGGATGTTCCCCGCTTCATTACAGAGTATGCTATATTAAACTGAGCATTTGAAGCACATTGAATCCACTCCTTGACCTAAAGCACCGTTGGGAGATCATACGCTGTTTGACTTACCTGCAAAAGGAGTCAAAACCCTGTGGTGATGAGTTGGGGAGATTGGGTTGGTCCCACATCCATTGAAGGACTTACATCATTGTGTGGTGTTGGGTTATATACTCTGGCAGACTTATTTTTTGTTTTCTACTCTGCAGAAATATGTATTTTTGATGTATTCAGAATCTTGCAAGCGCCTACCTTTATTTCAGCATATTGAGTCTAATAATTGTGCACAGTGTATTTGTGTAGCCTGGATTTTAAATTTTACCTGGAGTTTAGAGAAGCGTAGGAAACAAACTTTCCATGTTAGCCAACCAAACCAGTTAGATTCTAATTTGATGAATTTTGTGAACAGTTTTGGAAAACATACAAATCCTTGCAAGTCTGTTATTTTCAGTTATTAGAGATAAATACAATTAGACTTCAGGCTCTTATGATAACAAGTTGTTAAACAGATACTAGTACCAGATGAAAAAAACATTAACTGACTGTTTATTGTACATTTGAGGCTTTTGGCACAACTCCTGACCTTAATTTGTCCGGAGGTTCACTCAGGTCTTTAAGAGGATAGTTGTCTGAGAAGCCAATATATTCAACTCTAGTCTACTGCCAGGAAACTATTTCTGGTTGTGATATTATTCATACCTTGGCACTGAGCTTTTGCAGGCTGGCTTTGGAATGAAAGATGCTATGATCACTCTTCTTTAACCTGAAGATAAACAAAGATTTCAGTTTCTATATTCCTATCCCACCCAATTCATAGTCACTGGATCTGTTTGATTACCACAACTAATCAACATATCTGGTCTGAAGGTGGATACAGGGGAAAAAAAAAAGGGAATATATACAGTAGAGAACAAATACCTCTGGATGTTCATTTGTTCACCCACTATACACCATCTCTGCATACTAGGTGATCTCCCAGGCACTGTGTACAAAGCAAGTGAATGCTCTGCCTTCCGGCTTGCCACAGAAACCATGATCAATAAAAAAAAAAAAACCTGCAACACTGGTGCCCTTTGCACCTATAAAAAACAGCCTGTATGCTATACACTTTGGAGAACAGTACATCAGTGGGGTAGCACAATGGCTAAATGGTTAACATTTTCGCCTGGCAGTACTAGGGTCGTTTGTTCGAATTCCAACCATGGCACCACCTGCCTGGAGTCTGCATGTTCTCCCTGTGCCTTTGTGGGTTTCCTCTGGGTACTCAGGTTTCCTCCCACACTCCATAGACATGCTGGTAGGTTAACTGGATCCTGTCTAAAGTGGCCCTAATATGTGTATGTATGAATGTGAATTTGGGACTTTAGATTGTACGCCCCTTGAGGGTTAGGGACTGATGTGAATGTACAATATATATGTAAAGCGCTGAGAATATTGACGGCGCTATACAACTGTAGTAATAAGTGTAATAGGTTTGTATCCTTTTTAAATAGGTTTTGTATCCAATTTCATCTATATATGGTAGCTTTAAGGAGAAATGTAGTCTTAATGTTTTATCTACGCAATAAGATATGAATAATGTGTCCTTATACATATAGCTTGCAATTCTCCATTTAAAGATCTAACACACACAATATAAAAAACACAAACAATCATATAAAAATACAAATACACCAAAAACAAATAAAATAAATATATATATATAAATAATAAATAATACAAAACAAAAAATAAATATATATTAAAAATATAAAAAAAAAATATAAAAAAAAAAAAATAAAAATAAAAAACAAAAAAAAACACACATACAAATATAAAAAACAACAACACAATACCATATATATAATATAACTATAAATAAACAAATTATAAATAAAAACAAATAAAATATAAAAAAAATATAAACACAATACAAAACATATATATACACAAAAAGACATAAAAAAAATACAAATACAATAAAAAAACATATATATAAAACAAAACATAAAAAAAAAAAACACAAAAAACAATAACAATTAAATATAACATACAATAAAAAAAACATATATAAAAATAAAATACAAATATAAACATACATAAAATATATATACACAAACATACATACATATAAAAAAAAACATACATACATATATTAACAAAACAAACATACAATAAAAACATAAAAAAAATTTACATATAAATACACATACAAACATACAAAAAAATATACACATACAAAAAATATAAATATATACACATAACATACATAAATATATATACACATACATACATAAATATATACACATACATACATACATATATAACTACACATACATAACATACAACACCAATACATAAAACATACACACATACATACATACTTTCTCTGTGCAGTACCATAGTCATAGTGAAGATATTTTTTAAAATTATATAAACCCCCACCCCCCCAAAAAAAACCATAGAAAAAAAAACAACGGTTGTATCTTGACATTTTCAAACAAGTACCTTTAAAAAGCTTACTGCAGGAATAAAGCAATAAGATGTATTGGTACATTCAGATTTCAGAAAGGAAATAAATTGGAGGCAAGAATTTTTTTGGACTGTAAGAGAAATGGATGTTACCCTTGTCTCAACTGCATATAGTAGTTTGAGGAGAAAGGGGGAATTTTTTGTCCATCACGGTAATGGTTGTAACTATACCATTAGGAATTACATGCATGTCAAACATCTTATGCTGTGTATGCAATGTAAATTAATTTGTTTTGGGGGGGGGAGAATCAAGGATCACATATTGCAACATTGCTCTCCTCCATTTGTGCTAAACATCCAGGTTTGCCAGTTCAAATTTTATGGAATACGATCAAGACACAGATTTAAAATGTATGATCTTGGAAGGGGAAAAAAAAAAAAAAAAATATTTACTGGGAGAGGTGGAGACAGAATTCTTTTAAAACAAAAGGGAGGTGTGGTGAATTAATCAGCTTAATGCTTTGCACCCTTTTGATTTGAATAGGGATTATGATTTGTATTAATTTTGAAACTTAGTATAATAATATTTACGTTCATTTCTTTTAGACCTATGAAAAGCAAAATGGAATGGCTGGTGTGAAATTATGAATTTCTAGTATCTGGTTTGGATTTATGGTGATGTTTAATTCATTTTTCAGTTTTTGTATAGTTTGGAATCACAGTATGTTGATTATTATATGCTGTAACATGTAAATTTGATTATTTTTATTTAGTTATACAACAAGGTATTTCCTACTAAGAGTATTGCTATAGTGTGTTACAGATGAGATGCACATGTGCAACCACACCCTGTGTTTAGGTATACATAGTGATCTTATGATGTGTAGCATTACAATTGTAGCTTGATGGGCAGTGTTTTGCTTGAAACTGCACAGTCGCGCTAATTGTTTTATGAAGATACACTTGAAGTAAAGAAAGAATTTTTGCAACTTGGAGATCTTGTTCTCATTTGTTTTTGGATGTTTTATAGGGGTGGAATTATGGGAGCCCACCGTTAACTAGATTATTATTATTATTAATAATACAGTATTTATATAGCGCCAAAGGGTTTGCTCAGCGCTGTACAATAGCAAGGGGGACAGAACATGAGACAAGACAGAAACAATACAATACACGAGGGGTGCGAGGGCCCTGCTCTTTCGAGCTTACAATCTAGGGGGAGGGGGAAAGTGGTACAGGAGGAAATGGCTGTGGGGGATGGAGTGGTGGGAGGAGTGGAGGTCAGTTGTTAGGTGAAGGTGAGGTTAGGCTTCCCTGAAGAGGTGGGTTTTCAGGGTGCGCCTGAAGGTGAGGAGGGTAGGTGACAGTCAGATGGATTGGGGTAGGGAGTTCCAGAGGATGGGGGAAGTCCTGGAGAAATCCTGCAATCGGGCGTGGGAGGAGGAGACCAGGGAGCTAGAGAGTAGGAGGTCCTGTGAGGAGCGAAGGGCACGGGTAGGGTGGTATTTGGGTATCAGGTCGGTTAGGTAGTTTGGGGCGGCATTCTGAATGGCTTTGTAGGTCAGAGTTAGCAGTTTGAATTTGATGCGCTGGGCAATCGGGAGTCAGTGAAGGGATTGGCAGAGGGGGGTGGTGGATGTGGAGTGGTTGGTGGGTGGATGAGTCTCGCCGCTGAGTTTCAGGATAGACTGGAGTGGGGATAGTGTTTGTTTGGGTAGGCCAGTGAGAAGGGAGTTGCAATAGTCCAGGCGTGAGATGAGGGAGTGTAACGAGTTATTTAGTATGTGTCTGGGGTGAGGAATGTACGTATCTTGGAGATGTTGCGGAGGTGGAGCCTGCATGATCTTGATAGTAATTGGACGTGAGGTAGGAAGGAAAGGTTTGAGTCCAGGGTGACACCCAGGACTTTGGCATGTGGGGTGGGGAGTGATGGTGGCGTTGTTAGTAGTGATGGAGAGGATGGGGGGGGGGGGGGGGGCACGGGGGAAGACCAGGAGCTCGGTTTTGGACAGGTTTAATTTGAGGAAATGGAGATCCCCAACAGACAAGATTTGCAATATAACAGGAGTTACCTGCTCCAATTTTTATATACATACATATTTTAAAACGCAGATTAATAGTGTGCCTTGACTTCTGCAGTGTTGCTTCATAAGAGTGAATGATGGGTCCACTCTGAATATACAAATACCCCCCTCAAATGTCTGATAGCTGCCTCTGTTTGCTTGGATAACTGACACACAGCAACTTCCCTTCTCATCTCTGAAGTGATATGATATGGCTCACACATTCTGCAGGGATCAATTTCCTGTACAGAAAAGGGAAGGATCAAAAAGGCTGGATGATCTAGCGCTTAAAAGTGTTACTAAACCCACAACAGTAAAATCAGTATTTATATGCAGAAAAAGCATGCTTGTTATACTCACCGTGGAACCTAAGGGGTTAATCTGTATTGTGTAAAAATGCGGTTTGATCCTGACTTCTCTGATCCTCTCCTACTTCCAATATCCCCCTCTTATCCCCTCCTACTTCCAGTATCCCCCTCTTATCCCCTGATAAGACGTATGGAATGGAGACACTCTGCACAAGCTCAGTTTCGTGTGTATTGCTAGAGAGGTTTTCTTTTTCTTGGGAGAGTAGATGTGATCAGCACAGGGCCAATCAGCACTGTACAGACAGATCAGGGTTCTGCATCCTCCTAGAGCAAAATGAAAAAATTTCTCCTACAAGCTGTAACCAGTGCTCTGCTGAACACTGATAGACGTCACAAGACTGCTCTAACTGCTTATGGGAAAAGGTATTTAGTAGTTTATATGTACTAAAATAATTGATTTCCATGTTCTGTGTACTGTGGGAGACCAGATATAGTGAATGCAGGGTCCTGAGCTTAGTAACACTAATATCCACCAGAGCCATTATGGTATATTAGACATTGCTCAACAAAACTGAGACCCCCAAGACACTACCATACAAATATGGAGGCATGGTTGGTTGGACTGTAGCTACCCAATTTGCCCAGTTGTCAGCCCAAGAACTTATATACCCCAATATTCCTTTCCAATGTCTAAAAGGTCTCACCTGGCTTCAGTGTCAGCTGCCTTCTCTTTAGCCACCTCGCTGACGTGTTCCATTTGGACATAGCGTTTCTTGGTTTTGCTGACTTCTTTCACAGTTTCCAGTAGTTCATTCTGTACTTTCACAAGCTGCTCAATACTCTGCAATCACCACAATACATATTAGAAGCTATGCACAGGAAACCTCTTACTTGTTGCAGTATCAAGCTTTTTTCAGTCAAGGCACTCCATTCTAAAAACTAATACTTTTAGATAATGCAGCAGCATCTACACAAGTAGGGCTCTGTTTAGGCATTTTGCCAAGACATCCCTGAACAACCCAGAAAGCCCCCCAGGGGTTAAAAAAAGGCTGAAACATAGGACATGGCCCAATGCACTTCTATAGTAAAGCAGGGAGAAATGTACAATGTAATGCACTTGATTGAACACCATGTCCACAGATGTGCAACTTCCATATCCTCTGAAATGCACTGCAGCACTGACTGGTGAACACAGTCTGCCAGCGGATCGGTGCAATCTCTAAAGCAGCTATTCCTACTTCATTGCTTAGTGAGCAAATAGCCTAGGTTTGATACACAGAGAGATAAACACGGGCGGACTGACAACTCATGGGGCCCCCGTGTTCCTTGCTCAAACTCAAAAAAGCCTATTAAAAAAAAAGGTACCAGGGGCATCTCATGGGGCCCCTTACTGACCTCGGGCAGTGCCCGAGTTTCCAAATGGTCAGTCCGCCCCTGGATATACACCAAAGAGGAAAAGGATAAAAGAAACTTGTCCATCTAAGAAAAGTCTAAGTAACTGCTGACATATAAAAATTATCCTAAACCAGAACATTTGCCTGGACATACTATAAAATAAATGGGTGTTGGTGTCAGTCATGCGGTGTCTCCCCTCACCATAGGTGATAAATGTTTCTCTTCTTGTATTAAAGTATTAGGGAACCATATACTATAAAAGGTTTTCTTCCTCTTGCAGGAAGGGGAAGGAAGAATGCACTTTATGTTATAAGTCCTGACAGGGATAAAAAAATAAAAATAAAAAAATGCGATCGTTATTCAACAGATGACATGGCTTAGCTCTGAAGACGTTATTCACTTAGAGATAAAAGATATGCAATATTTTTGTTTTTACCTTCTTCAGGAGGTGCTCCTTAGCAGTTCGAACAGTTTTAGCTGCTGCTTCAACAGTGACATTCCTAAAATTGTCAGCTGCAGTGACTCGTGTCTGTCCGATAAAAACAGTCCCCTCCATCATAGACTTCCATACAGAAAAAACACTCCTACACAGAAGAGAAACAAAAGTATAGGTGTAATAAAAAAAAAAAAAGAAACTATACAAATTTATTTTTGGCTTCAAGAAAAAAAAAAAAAAAAAAAAATACAGAATTGTTTTTTTTTTTTTTTTTTTTTAAATAAAAAGGGAGAAGCTGTTAAAGTAACCCTGTCATGAGAAGTGCAGACTGACTCTTACAAAGTACCAGTTACACTTACCGGTAACCGTTTATGGGAAATCTTCCAGGACAGCACACCTGAGAGAAGACTAGCTCCACCTCCCCCAGGAAACAATCAAAAATTGACCATTTAAATTCACTGCCCTTTCCTCCCTTCCTCAGTTTGTGCAAGAGTATTCCTGCACCCCGGTGCACGAAAAGGTATTCTGACTCAATTTAGCAAACACCAGTTATGGGTGGGGAGGAGGCCTGCCGTCCTGAAAGATTTCCCAGAAACAGTTACCGTCAAGTGTAACTGATACTTTTCTCTAGTCATCTTCCAGAATGGCACACTTGAGACGATAAGCAAGGAACTCAGGCCTACATTAGGGTGGGACTACTGCCTGTAATACTTTTCTGCTGAACGCCAGGTCCTGTGGTGACAACAGCTCTACCCTGTATTGTCTCATGAAGGTGTCCTGGCTTGTCCATATGGCTGCTCGGCAGATCTGTTCAATCGATGCTTTGGCCCTCTCCACCCATGAGGTTGCCAGTGATCTAGTAGAGTGAGCCCTCAGGTGTAAAGGAACCGAAACCCCTGACTGCTCATAAGCCAAGGAGATGGCTTGTCTGATCCATCTAGTCCGTTTAGATGCCTGCTGTCCCTTCCACAGGCCACTAAGCAAAATCAAAAGGTGACTTACGCTATTCAAATAGGTCAGCAAACACCTTCTGACATCTGAAAAATGAAAAATTTTCCCTTTCATTCTTAGGGTCAGCAGCGTACTCCACCGCAGCCACCCTGCTCACCCTACAGGGGCGAGCTGTGCGATCCACATGATGGCCAGCGGTCCCATACCCACGAGAAGCCACCTTACGGTCCGGTCCTCTCCTGGACATGCCTCCCTGCTGCCTTGGAGGAAGGACACTCGTCTCTGGAATGCCAGGCACACCTCCTCAGTGCCTGGGAAGCTCCAATGCACTGGGACCCCTGGAGTGAGTAAGTAATGCCGGTTACAGCCTGTCCTCTCTGGCTCAGCTGTTTAACCCCCCAGGGTGGATCTTCCAGCCCCAGGCCTTCGGTCTAAACTAAAAAAAAAAACTCAAACATTTCGCTGCAGAGAAACACCAAATACTGAGGAGAGTAAGAAAGGGCAAGGAATTTGTCAATTTTTGATTGCATTTCCCGTCAGCTGGAGCTAGTCATCTCTCAGGTGTGCCATCCTGGAAGAGGACTAGAGAAAAATGCTTGTTGCCTGGATGTGCGACACAAAACATGCATGGTGTAAATTAATGTAAAAATTCCTTGTCTCTACTTGTTCTAGGTCAAGGATTTAAAAAGCGCTGGTAATGCATCATGACAACCAAGCAACTAGCAGTTTATGAAGGTATGGGCAGCAATGCCAGCCACTATAGTTCTTCAATGGTTACCTTTAGGGCTAGTTCACACTTGACTAAATTTCTAACTCTTATATGCTCCTATAGTATTAGTATGGGTGTTAGGCGTTTTACAAGTGTTATAAAAAACTCTTCAAAACTGAGCTTCGAATGTTTAAAAAGTGTTTTTAAGCATTAAGACATCAGCACAAATGCCTATAATAAAGGAATGTTATTAACGCACCGCAACACACCTGCAAACACCTGCCAGCACATTTGCGGAGCGTCACCACAGACTTGAATGGGAGGTGTAAAAAAAGCTTCAAACTCCTCCAGAGTTGACAGGAGGCTTCAATTTTAAAGCGATGCGAACGCTTCATGTTTTGAGAAGGAAACAGCACTGTGCTGTCCATAGTATCATTTGCATAGGTGTTTGAGGGTCAAAAACACCCCTCAAAAATGCCTGCCTTTAATGCCAGTGTGAACTAGGCCTTAGTGTACATAGAAAACTATAACCAATAAAATATCTTAGGCTTATTCCTGTGCGAACGCTTCACTATACTACACTGATAGCCAATTTTACCTCAAAAGCTTCTACTTTAGCAGGGTAGCATATTAAGCCTTTACATTAGCAGAAGAGGCAGTCCTATTTGTATTTTTCCTAATGTTCTCTCATATGTCCCGACCATTAGAGAAATGAACGTATAGAGCAGTGTTGTCACAGAAAGGGTTGCTTTTCTGAACCACAATTTGTAAATACCATACTGTAAAGGTGGAGAGTGTTTAGTGGGGATCTTTAAAGTATTACTAAACCCAGGACCCTGCATTCACTAAACCTGGTCTTCCACAGTACACACAACATGGAAGTGCAATTATTTTAGTAAATGTAAACTGCTAAATACCTTTTCTCCTCATCAGTATATAGCAGTCTTGTGACTTCTATCAGTGTCCAGCAGAGCACAGGTTAAAAGCTTGTAGGAGGAGATTTGTTTGCTCTGAGGATATAGAGCCCCTGACCTGTCTGGACAGTGCCGATTGGCCCTGTGCTGATCACATGTACTCTCCCAAGAAAAAAAAAAAAAAAAAAAAAATGATCTAGCAATACACTAAACTGAGCATGTGCAGAGTGTCTACACTATATGTCTTACCAGGAGATAAGAGGGAGACACTGGAAAAGGGAGAGGATCAGAGAAGTCAGGATCAAACAGCCTTTTTACACAATGCAGAGGATTAACCCCTTAGGTTCCACAGTGAGTATAACAAGCATGCTTTACTGTATATACAGACTGATTTTACTGTTGTGGGTTTAGTAACACTTGAATTACTTTTTATCCATTGGCTTTTCCCTAAATCTTCAGAACCTATAATGTGTTCTATTACAACTGTAAATCCTCTAGGGACCATGTGCTGCCAACTAAAAACTTCACTGCTTCTTAGTTTCTGTTTTAGCCCCAGTTTTATATGTCTTGGCAGCTTACGATACAAAACCACAGCGGAAGAGCACATTTCATAGATGACAGCAGACTCCACTGTGTGGCCCAGCTGCAGATAGAGATTTCATAATATTTTATTTAAGTAATTATCAGTTGCCTCTATGGGATCCTTGGTAGCACAATCTTGGTATTTACATATGAAGGTCATATTGCTGCTATTTACATATGAATGCACAGTTCAGGACAAAGGAATGTAAACCAGGACCATTAGCAAGTATGGGGTAGCTGCTTTGGGCCCAGGGAAGCTGCCCCTTTAACCCCTCCTTAAAGACAGCCCTGTGCACATCCATGAACTGTGGATACAAGGCAGCATGGGTCCATGCTTTCAGGTATACACCAAATTCTGACCCTACCATCTGAATGTTGCAGCTGAAATCAAGACTCAGACCACGCAACATTAATCCACTCTTCTATAGTCCAATTTTGGTGAGCCTATGTGAACTCTAGCCTCAGTTTCCCGTTCTTAACGGAGTGCATCCGGTGTGTTCTTCTGCTGCTGTAGCCCATCTGCTTCAAGCTTCAATGTGTTGTGCATTCAGAGATGGCATTCTGCATACCTTTGTTGTAACAAGTGGTTATTTGAGTTACTGTTCCCTTTCTATCATCTCAAACCAGTCTGCCCATTTTCTTCTGACTTCAAGGCATTTTCAGCCACACAACAGCCGCTCACTGGATATTTTCTCTTTTTTGGACCATTCTCTGTAAACCCTAGAGATGGTTGTGCGTGAAAATCCTAGTAGATCAGCAGTTCTTGAAATACTCAGATCAGCCCGTCTGGCACCAACAACCATGCCATGTTCAAAATCACTTAAATCCCATTCTGATGCTCAATTTGAACTTCAGCAAGTAGTTTTCACCACGTCTAGATGCCTAAATGCATTAATTTACTGCCATGTAATTGAAAAATTAGCAATTTGTATTACCAAGCAATTGAACAGGTGTACCTATTAAAGTGACCAGTGAAATTACACACACACACACAGTATGTATATGTATCTTTAACTGGAATTATTTTTACCCACTGATACATCTTACTATCTATATTTAATTGGATACAGTTGCCATTTGCTTAAAGCTTTTCCACCCAGCTCCTTCAAATTTTTAAATCAAGAGGTTTAAGGGAAAAAAAAAAAAAAAAAAAGGGGGGCGGGCAGACAGAACCACCAACATAGTGAATTTCATCCAGTTCATCAGCAAAGGGCAAAACTTGCACAGCTTAAAACTTGGAGTTTTAGATTTAACCTCAAAAGAATCTCCATCTATCGTATAAAGAATTACTGAGATAAGAACAAACACAAGTAGTGACGCATGATTCATCACTCTTGCGAAACCTTAATTGAAACCAGCAGCTCTGTATTCTTCTGTCTTCTCTTTACACAACAAAAAAAAATTTCCTCTGCTGCTTTCACTAGTGTTATGACTGATTGTCATTACAGGATCGGTGTTAGCCAAATTTATCTGTTGGCCTAAGCACAAAGCATCTATTTACTGCTGAATTATGCCACCGTCTGCTGCCAAGTGCATACATCTTTACAAGCAAGACAGCCCAAATAAATATTTTATAAAATACCAAACTACAAACTATGTTTAACTACTAAAAAAGGTATTGAGTATATTTAACCCCATTTATGGTAAGGCCCAACTGGACCAGAAAACAGATCAACCAATTTTTATAATCCAGACACCCATGCCAGTTACCACGGCCCTGACCATTTCTCCTTCAATGCAATGAAAGTTATACAAGCATTGAAAAGTGATTGGACAGTAAAGGAACAGGAGCTTACTAATAAGGGCATCTATTCTCTCCTCAAAAATGTTGCTTGCCAATTGAAGATTTATAGCTTTGTGCGATACAGTAACTTAGA